CCTCTGGGCATCCACAAGGCCCTCAGTGGTAACAGGAGCCATGAACATCAACATAGACCACCACAGGTGCATTAGGGCCATAGACCCAGACATGGCCCTTGGCAGCAGCCCAGGCACAGATATCACCATGGCCCTGGGTGACAAGAAGGCCACCCATGTCACCTGATTCCTCACCAACCTCAACTCTTCAGATCTGCCTCTCTCCTCAGCACATGACCCTTTCTGCCTCTCTCTCCCATTTCCCTACCATATACTCGTTCATCATAATGGTGCACGATTGCCTGGTGCTGGCTGGTGCTTGATCTCTGCCCGCCTGGGAAAAGTGTCCTGGGGCAGAGCTGTAGCTGTCCCCCATGCACCCAGAACTCATGGTGCTGCGTTTAGATGCCTTTTATCTACCTCTTTTATTGTTCTAGCTCCATTATACTGAATGAAAGAGGAAAAGTGAATACTTGCCTTATTCCTATGAATTAACACCAATACTTATTTAACATTTTCATAAAACAGACAAGGAAAGAATGCTGCAACTTTTCATGAAGACAGTATACCCTGATACCAAAGACACAAGAGAGAAACAACAGAGAGGGAGAGAAGGAGAAGGAGGGAGGGAGGGAGGGAGGGATAGAGAGAAAGAAAGTTATAAACCGTTCTCCCTAATGAACACAGATACAAAAAAAAAAATCTTAGTAAATTATTTCAAACCCAGTTCTGCCTTGTGGTGTAGAGTGGAGCGTGGTGGTGCATATGTGAACAGAGGTGGAACGCCAGGTGTGTGTGCCTAGTACAGGTGTGGAGTGCTGTGTGTGCATGTTACTGTTAGTTAGGGTGGGGTTTTCCTTGTTTTTGTTTCAGTCCTCAAAGTTCTGGACTGGGTTAGCACTCTTGAGAGGCTAAGAGTCATCCGATATGTACACTAGACAATATTATGCCTGCTCAAAGCACTTGAGCTGTGATTTGTTTTTTTTTTTTTTTTTTCCAGAAAGAGTTTCACTGAGTAGCTCTGGCTGGCCTGAAACTAGCTATGTACAGCAGAGTGGCAGTGAACTCAGAGGTCACTGGTATTAAAGGCGTGCGCCACCACGCCTGGAGGAGCTGTGGCTCTTGAACTTGCCAGGCATCAGCTTCTTGTCTCACTCTTGTTACTTTGCTCCAGACACTGGCAAAAAAAATTTTTTTGTCACCAAAACAGTAATGGCAGGAAGCTGTCCTGTCTTTAGCCTCCCAGTGAGAAACCAAAGCCACTCAGCAGACAGAGTGGAGCAGGTACCTGACACAGGTCTACTCTATTTTCCCAAAAAGACCCACTCCCTCTGCCATGGACCCCTCTCTTGGCAGTTACAACTGCTGCACAGTCTTCTCGTGGATGCTGGCTTACTGAAGTCAGGCCCTCTGCATCCACGATGCCCTAGGGATGTGGGCAAGATGACTAATGCACATTGTGTGTGTCCTAGCATATGAAGTTTTCAGGGCTACAGCCCCATAAACTGCGTTTTCAGAGCTTCCACAGAAGGCATTATAGAATAAGCTGAATGGCATGAGTGGCCCAGGACTCAGTCCCGGGTCTTACATGAAAAGTTGCTGTGTGAATACGGAAGCTGGCACTCGACTGCTTCTCATATGAATTCTTGTCCTTCCAGCTGAGTTTGGATGTAGAACTAGAGTCTAGAAAGTAGATGATTTACCTGAGGCTTCAAAGGCAGTGTGTGAAGCCAAGGCCATCTTCTTGCTATTTTTCTTGGCTTTCTGTTGGCAAGGCTCTGGGCTCAATCCCTAGCACTGCACTAAATAAATAAAGACACCCACCCACCCCCACCAGAGACTGAGTTAAAGAATGATCTCATTTCACAAATATTCATACATTCTTACCGGTTCCTTTTTTAAACTTTATTGAGTCATCTGCATGGATATAGAGAGTTAGGCAGGGACTGGAGTATAGTATGTCCAATTGTATTATTAAGCTTGGCTGATACTGGCTGTGTTGAGTAAAGCTGGCTAATTTCTGTAGATTTTAGTTTTCTCACTTAAGTATTAAAGATATAAGGCTTGGAAATTTCTAAACATGTTCTCAACTTTTATTATCCCATTGATCTGTGACTCTAAGTAACTTGGAAAAACATTCTGTTTTGGGATACTTCCCTCAATTTAAAATTTTTCTATCCCTTATACCCAATATCTCAGACAAATTATTAATATTTCTTTTGAACTTTCTCTAGGACAAAGTAGTTTAGTATTTGGATTTAAAAGACTTATATGAACACAATAAAAACAATTAAAGCATTTAATTGACTCTTGAGAAATAGTGCACTTCAGTTAATTTTATGGATATCTGAACCTATCTTATTGAATACCATTTTTTAAATATAGCATTCCCTTTAATGAAAATCTCTAAATTATGCTATGTAACAATGCCTTTCAAAACAGAAAAATCTTCCTATATAATTTTTTTCCTTTCATTATCTGGAGGATGCAGAATCGCCTTTTCAAACATCTGATATTACACAGAAGGTCTTTCAGGTACAATTTAGGTGTGATGGTCTTTATGGACATTGATTAAACATTCATTTGGTGTTTGAGTGAAGGAAACACAACTTGACTAGGCTTTTTAAAAGGGGGCTTTATTGACTTACCTAACAGAAAAATATTTACTTCCAGATGTTCGGATAATGTGGTTATCAAATTGCAGGTGGATCATTATCTTTCCCTATTGAGACTGGACTGTCCTCTATGGCTACTTAATTATTTAGATTCTTCTTGGGAGTCAGAGGGATTGTCAACATCCAGGTTTAGCAGTCCCACAGAAAGAGAACCCTTTCACAGTGATTTCCATACACACTACACACTGGCTGTCACTCACTAAGAAGGAGTTATGTCTCCTGTGTGAAACCTTTTCTTGACAGGGGAAGAAGCTGTCTCATTACTTGTGCTGTCCTCATCCCTGGAGTGTGGGAGCTGGAGAGGGAAGGGCGGCCTCATATAGATCACATGGGTAGAGAAGAGAGGGTGTGTGGATTCCAGAAAGAATGAGCATGGGGCTATTTGGGATGCCAAAGCTACAAATATCCCCTGTGAAAACCTACTCATCCCAGCACATTCCCCTCTCAGATCACTCCTTTCCACCTCTCTGTGTCACCTGTCATTCATGCTGCTCTTGGTTGGCCTTTATCATCACACTCTCTTCCATCAGGTGTGTCTCGTCCCCTGGCAGGGTTTCACAGTGTATCCCTGGCTGTCCCAGAACTCATTCTGTAGACCAGGCTGGCCTGGAACTCACAAAGATCCACCGGCCTCAACCACCCCCGCCCCGCCCAGTGCTGAGATTAAAGACGTGTGCCACCACCACCTGGCTCCAAATTGTAATTTATAAAATCTCTTCGGAGAGTTTGCAAACAAGGTGATCAAGGTCATTCAAATTATTTCTAGAGAAGAGATAATGGGCCCTGAGTGGAGTCTTAAGAAAGAATTATAGAATCTGATGGCTTATTTATGGACCTTAAAAGTCATTTTCGCACTTTAAAATTTTTCTTTGCAAATCTGCCTTCATGCTAGAAATGTACTAATATAAATCACAAACCCAATGAGCATAAACAGTAGATATCATGAACATGGTTGCTTTAACTAAAGAAAAGACTTTTGATGTTTCCCTAAATTTAAATGGATTTTTTACAAGATAGATATTTCATTTTACTTTTCTGTTCACAGCACCTTTCTGACTTCAAATACACACTTTGACATCCATGATTATGGGAGAATAGGGATTTTTTTAAAATAAAAAAACTCTATAAATTCCTACATATAGCATACATTGTACAGCATGTTAAGTTGTGATTGTCATGTTTAGAACAATCACAATTACACGAAGCTCTCAAATGTTTCGTTTTAACCATCCGTTTCTGTATGTAAATAATGTCATACCTGTTCTTCAGGGGTGGCCAACGTGGTTGACGCTGAGTATTGACAGAGGTGATTTGTCCGCACTGCCTAAGAATTCCTATGTAATTCAACTAACAAGAAGGGTAGAGCAATGAAAACAGTGACGGTTATATCCTCGTGATCTAGAGTTGGGTTTGAAGCTAGTGAACCTAGTGTGGTGAAGCCACCTATAATCACAACCCTTGGGAGACCGAAGCAGGATGCTAATGAGACCTGTTCCCCCGCCCCCCAAAAAAACCCAAAATCAAAAAACAAAACAAAACGAAGAGATATTGGCCTTGCAATAAGGTTAAAAGAAGTATTAAAATAAAATCCATGTGATTAAGGATTTCAGAGCGAGGGTCTCGGCCAGGAAGCCCTTTAAGGGTCCCGCCCCCGAGCCCCGCCCTTCTGCTTCCGGGAAGTCGCAGCCCGGTTTCCGTCCTGGAGATTGGGTCCCTGGCTCTCCTGACGCCCCGGCCTGCGCGCGGCTCCTGCGGCGACGACGGTTGCTGGGTGCCTGGGCCGGTGAGACTTGCTAAAGGAATTGTAGGTCTGCCCAGTTTTCTCCATTCTTCCGCTCCAGGCCCTCGGATACTGTTCCTGCTATCACCTCCGGTTCATTAGCTCAGGAAGGCCTCCTCCTTCCCTTCGCTTCCCTTCTCACGTGGCTCATCGCACTGGAAGCCCCCTTCTGTCTTCTTCCTGATTCATTCCTTTCCTCTCTCAGCGTGCGTCTCTCGTTTTTCTTTCTCTCAACAGCCCTTGAAAGTAAGACAAGAAGAAATCTTCCTATCAAGACTGACAGCAAAATTAACCCACTGGGCAGACGCCGTTTTGTACAAATGGTGAATCCGGGGAGATGAAGCTTCACGTGCCCCTGTGATTACAGATGTGTTCCAGAATTAGTTTCTGATTTCCAGAAGAAGCCTTTCGTTCCTTCCCCCACACCACCGACCGGAATTCCTCTTGGACTTATCACAGTGGACAAGCAATTAACCATCAATGCTTTTGAAGGATTAAGGACTGTAATCGCACGCACAGTGTGTCAGGCACAGCATTCAGGAGTCCTGACGGTGCTCTGTGGTGGCGCTGTTCTTGGAATACTACCCTGTTAAGATGCCTTAAAAGCTTGTCACTACTAGGTTGTAAGGTTCCCCGCAGGAACGCAAGGTATCTTAAAACTGCAAACTCCTGAAAGATCAGGTAGGTTGAGCAGTTTTCATACTGTCAAAAAGAATGCTAAATAGTTGCCTTTAAAATTGTTTTTTGCGTATTTAGAGTCCAGTCTTATGTATGCTTTCCCACACAGTACCTCAAACCCCAGGAAAGATCAAATTGATGGATGGAAAGATGCAGTTGGCACCTAGGAAGGCAATCTCTCATACTTCTGATTTTCCGCTGGGATAAATTGAATTCAATGAGTCAAATAATTGTGGAACAGTATCAAAAAAAATCCTTATTATTACATGTGGGGAAATCATTCCCCATTTTCATTATAATGCCTATGCAAGGTACATATGGAAGCTGGGAATATAGCTTAGTCTATAAAGTGCCTGTTGTGCAAACAAAAGAACCAGAATTTGGATCCTATCACCTTACATATGCCAGGCATCATATCTATAACCCTATCTGGAGGGATAAAGACAGATGGACAGCCAGTCTATCCAATGGGTGAGTCCCATGTTCAATGAGAGACCCTGGCTCAAAAAATAAAAGGTAACAGCTGGGGAGATGGCTCAGTGAGTAAGATCATTTTCAGTGTAAGCATGATGACCTGAGGTCAAATTCCTGGATCTCAAAAAATGTTCATCTTACCTAGTAATTAAGGAAAAAAGTCTTAAGGCACCATCCTCTCTCTCTCTCTCTCTCAAATTATATTTAGTATATATAAGTATATATACACATACACATGACAATGTTTATATACTATCTAACAAAACCCCTAACACCAGGCATGAGAAGCCCCTGAATTAAGTTATTAGTCAGGATTGTCCAAGAGACTTCCAAAACATTATAGGCTATTGCCTTTGCCCTTGGTTGCATCCCAGAGGTGGAAGTTAAGTCCCTATTGCTGAAGACACCATGTACTTCTGACATAGTACCTTGATGACCTGACCTGGATCTGACCTGAAACCCCCTACCTGAGGAGTAGCTAAGAAATATCTCAAAAAATGTTCACCATCCCTAGTAATCAGGGAAATAAAAGCAGAACAACTGAGATTTCATCATACCCTAATCAGAATGGCAAAGATCAACAAAACAACAATAAATGATGGAGAAAATGTGGGAAAAATGGGAACCTTTATTCATTTCTTTTCTTTTGACTGTGGTTATATTTTATTTGTGCTGAAATGTGGTGATATTTTTTTTGTGCTTTAATAAAGTTTGCCAGGAGAGCAAAGGAAATAGCAAGCCATTTTAAATAAACGAATAAGTCTGGTAGTAGCACACGCCCTTAATCCTAATCACTTAACAGGGGGGTCTCTGTGTGTTCAAGGCCACACTGGAGAACAGAGCGAAGTGTGGTGACACATATCTTTAATCCCAGTACCGATCGTAGAGACCTGGAGGTCTGTACAGACAAACAGAAAGTGACAGAGCTGGGTAGAAGAAGTGAGGTAGCTAGGCTAAGAGAGCCAATGAGAGGGCAGAACAGCAAGACAAAAAAGGCATGGGTAGACAGGAAGTAACTCGAATTTGGAAGCTATAGAGCTGGTGAGGTAAGGTTGGCTGGTGATTTTTCCTATTTCCCTGATCTAAGGCTTTCACCCCTATATTTGGCTCTGTGTTTTTTATTTTATAAGACCATTTATAAATTAGTCTACATTTGACGATTCTCTGTTCAGATCCTAAACCCATTTGTGAATGGGTCATTTTTGTAAACTCTTTGTTTCCTGAATTCTTTATATATTCTCAATATTAACCCTCTGTCAGATGATAGCTGGTAGATTCACTTCCATTCCCTGGGCTTCCTCTTCACGAAATTGTTTCTTTAGCTATGCAGAAGCTTTTTAGTTTTATGAGGTCCCACTTGTCAATTGTTGGCTTTAGTTCCTGGGCAAATGGGATCCTGTTCAGAAAGTCCTTTTCTACACCTATATCCTGTAGGGTATTGCCTGTGTTTTCTTCTGACAGTTTCAGTGTTTCCAGTTTCACATTTAGGTTCTTGGTCCAGTTAGAGTTACTTTTTTTGTTCAGGATGATATATATGTTAGGGTCTTAGAGAAGTCCCATAGAAGACCATGAGTCACCTTTGCAATTAGCAAGAGCGTTTATTATCTTGAGAGTAAGAGTTCTAGCATGCTGGGTTGAACATCTGACACAAAGGCAAAATAGCAACCCAGAGAGAGGCTTGCAGGCTCCTTTATACACAGCTAAGGGGAGTTTTAGGGACAGTTAGGTCACTCAGATATGATTGGTTAAACAAGCAGCAGTTACATTAGTACATCTCTGATTGGCTCAGTTAGCAGGGCCGGCTGTGCTACAGGTTTACCATCTTTGGGCAAGTTTGGTCAGGTTCCAAGGGGAGGGGGTAGAGGATTTGTCCCTATTTGGTCATTGCCATGAGATATTGCTGGGGATTGCCCAGGCTTGGTTCATACTGTCACCTTGTCCCTGCTGTCAGGGCAGTTGAAGATTGTCCATTTTTTGTGGTTCTTTCAGAAACTGCTTGCTCAGTCTCAGGAAGCTGAAACTGAGGCCTGATCTCTGACAGAAGACTGAGCAGTCTGTTATGGTGTCTGCTCAGCTTATCCACAGGTCTAATTTCATTCTTCTTCTGTATGTGGACATCTAGTTTTCTCAGCACCATTTGTTGTAGATACTATCTTTTATCCAGTGTGTGCTTTTGTCATCTTTGTTGAACATTAGATGGCCATAATTATGCATATTCATGTTTAGGCCACTGATGTCAGAAAGCTTATGACTTCCTACAACTCCAACTCTAGAGGGAAATCTAACACCTCTAGCCTCTGCAGGCACATGCATACACATGTACAAACCCACATGAAGATATAAATACATATAACATAATTTAAAATAATAACTAAATCTTAAAAAATGAAAACTCTTCTTGTTGCTTTCTAGATTTAGGCCATTGTCTTTAGAGAAGGCATATGCTGTGGTTTCTACTTTTTGAATTTGTTGAGGCTTGCTTTATGGCCTGACATATCCTTGAGAATATTCCATATGCTGATGAGAATAATGAGTATTCTTCATTCTTTGGATGAAATGTTCTATAAATGTCTGTTGGGTCCATATTGTTTAATTTTAAGTTTCTTAATTGAGATTTGTCTTGATGTAAGTGGAGAGTTGAGCTTCCAGCTTTTATTGAGTGAATTATATAATTGGATGTTGGAGCCTTGGGCACATATATATTTACAATAATAACATCATCCTCTTTTTAAAATTTGCTTTTAATCATTACATAGTTACCTTTGTGTCTCATTGCAATTTTTGTCTTAAAGTCTATAATCAGGTATTTTCTCTTCATTTGGTTTTTGACTTGAATGAAATATCTTCTCCCATCCCTTCATTTCCAGTCCTGGTGTCTTCACTAATGAATTTCTTGTGAGCAGCATATCTTTGGGCCATTGGGTGTGTGTGTGTGTGTGTGTGTGTGTGTGCGCGTGCGTGCGTGTGTGTGTGTGTGTGTGTGTGTGTGTGTGTGTGTGTGTGTGTATTTAGTCAGCATAAAACTCACAGAGATCCACCTGCCTCTGCTTCCCGAGTGCTGGGATTAAAGGCCAGCATAAAACTTTTAACCTAGAAAGTTAGTCTAATTATTATGAGTAGGTAAATATTTGCTTCTATCATTATTTTTTCTGATTGTTTTATATAGCCTTTATTCTTTGTCTCCTGTTGTTTATCTTTGGTTATATTCTGTATTGATAAGATTTGGTAATTTTCCCTTTTGTGTGTCTGCTGTACTAGTGCATTTTATACTTTTATGTATTTTAATTATGGTATGTTATCTTTTATTTCTGTATATAGGATCCCTTAATCATTTGGGAGATCGGGAGGGTAAGTAATGCCAGTCTTGAGATAATGAATTTCCTGAGTTTTACTTGTCTTAGAAATACTTAACTTCTGGAGGGCTGAGTGATTATGCTTATTCGTAGTTGGCAGTATTTGCTTGTTTTTGAAACAGGGTCTTGTTATATAGCCCAGGCTTTCCTTAAACTTGTGACCCTTCTAAGTGCTGAACAGCCCATGTGCATCACACCAATCTTGGCACTTCTTTTCTTTTAGGGATGTGAATATGTCATCTTATTCTCTTGGCCTGTAAAATTCTACTGAGAAATCTGCTTTTAGTCTAATAAGGATTCCCTCATATGTGTGCTACTGATTTTTCTGTTTTTAGAATGGTTTCTTTGTCCTTTGTCTTTTACTTTGAATTGCCCCAAAAATGACTTTTTTGATCAAATCTGTTTGGGATTCATTGAGACTTTTTTGTCTGAACACTTATAATATCTTTCTTAAGTTTTGTTTCTGTTATCTCATTTTATACTTTATGCCTTCCCTCTTCTTCTGAAACATCTATAAATTAAATTTGCAAATATTTGTTTGGTGATGGTGATAACTTCATTTGTCTTAAAGTGTTTATTTTTTTGTTTTTTGAGACAGAGTTTTTCTGTGTAACCCTGACTGTTCTGAAACTTGTTCTGTAGACTAGGCTTGGCCTTAAACACAGAGATCCACCAGCCTCTGCCACTCAAGTGCTGGGATTAAAGGTGTGTGCCGTTATACCTTGATTTTTTTTCTTATTAATTGATCTCACAAGAGCTGCATCCAGTTCAGAAATCCTTTCTACTACTTGACACCTAGCCTGTGGTTGTGAGTCTTTTTTAAAAAATAAAATCTCTTTATTGTAATGAACTCAGAAGTAAAAGCATTACACAGCTATATTAAGGTAGCCACTCAAACAAACACATGCCCAGTTCCAAACTCTATACATCTCATTCAACTTGTAAACCGTTAGAATAGCCATTCTGAAGCCATGGAGTTTTGTGTAGGATTTACACTTTCACTATCAATGACAGTTTTCTTCATGTATCTACCACAAAGGGGGAGGGAGGTTTTGACATAATTGAAATTAGAAAAATTAGCTTATGTCCTCTCTCATGACGCACGTGTCCTTTTCCCATATTCCATCTTTCCTCATCATCTAGTATTGCCCTTTCTTGGTCGCTTTTCTGAATGTTATACTACATTCATGCTTACAGCTGTTTACATATGGACATGTGTATATTAGAGGCTAGGATCTGCATAGGGAGACCATGTAGCTTTTCCTTCTGAGTTTGGGTGACCTTGTTTAATATTATACTTTGCAAGTCTATTTTCCTTTAGATTTCAGTTGTTTTGGAGCTAAAGAGTGTTCTATTTTGTATATGTGTCACAATTCACTATCCATTCATCTGTTCCATAATAGCAGATTAGGGTTCCTCTTTATCTATATCCTCTCCAAAATTTGTCATCTGATTTCTTGATGCTAGCCATTCTGACTGGGGTGAGGTGGTATCTCAAAGTCATTTTAATTTACACTTCCTGATTACTAGGGATGTTGAACACCTTTTAAAATGATTTTTGGCCCTTTGTGTTTCTTCTTTGGAAAACTACGTTAATTGCTTAACTCTTGACTATATTTTTTAAAATTTCACTTATTGAGTATTTCAGATCCATGATTATTTGGTTCTTTTTGTGGTCCCTCTCTTTACTGAGTTTCGTTTTCATGTTATAAATGGTTTTCATTTTTTGTTTGTTTTTTAAGATTCCCACTGTGTACTCTTTTGTGTACTGAATTTTCCTGGAGTCATTATTTGAAGTCTTTTGGGGCCCTCATCTTCCTTTTCTTTGGCCCTATTACTACCTTTAGAGATGTGTGCTGCCCTACTTTTTCAAGGTTCATATATCCATATGTTGATATTTGATTAATATCTGATTAACCTGCTACTTCTAACAGTGTTGTAGAATGACTTTCACGGTGAGAGACTTTGTCCTGAAGACTGTTTCTGTGGCACTGGCTCCGGCTCCAGAGGGATGCAATAGTGGAGTCGACAGAGGTTCCTAAGGAAAATCATTGTTGAGAATCCTATGGCAGCAAGTTTGCTAAGGACTCTGTGTGGCTCATGCAGCCCCCCAAAGCAGAGTTCCCAGCAACTTCCTTAGGCTGTGTGACTGCAGGGCTGATGTGGCAGGCCCAGGAGGGGAGATGTGGCTAGTGAAAAAGCAGAAGCATAGCTCCGTCAGGTAGTTTTGGCTGTGAGGGGCAAGTCAACTCTAGCAGACAGGCAGCAGGAATGGGCAACTTAAATATCAGTGGACTGGTGGGGTTGGGGTGGCTGCGCCAGGAAGCCTCAGTGGATGTGGTCCTTGACACAATGTAGCACCAGCTGGATGCAGGTGGGTTTAGGGTCAGCATGGTTCTGACAAAAGCCTGGGTTGAGGAGGGTACAATAGGAATTGAGCTTCACTTCAGCAGTGCGATGGTGTCACTCCAGCAGCTCCCCAAACCAGGGTCTGTGTCCCAGAGGCTGTCAGATTACCCAGCTGCAGAATTTCAGATGTTTATGTCATCACTCGGAGCTATCTTCTTCTTGTCACAGGAAAACATTGTTAGTTTCAAGCTGATCCAGACTAGGTCAGTCAATGTAAAGTGCCTGCTTCACTGTAGGCTCTTCTGGGTCTCTGTCCTCGGTGTCTGTCAGCCTCACTGTAGCCCAGCACTCTCTCCCAAGTATTCCACCTCAACATCAGCTTAACTTTCTCTTTTTTTTTTTTTTTTTTTTGGTCCATTGTGAAAGACAAACTTCCTCAGGTTCTGTATAAGCATTCCTCCAGGTTTCATTTTAATTTTCTTGAAGTCTCATGGAGGCTTGAAATACACTAGTTGGTGACTGAAATAAAGAACTGATTATCTCCCACATGCTTTTAATATATTGCACATTCTTATGAAATTGGTGAGAAATAATATATTTCTTCATGTCAAAAACTTTTAAAACTTAGGCGCTTGGGGCCAGTGAAATATTTGGCTTAGTAGGTAGAGGCATTTGCCACCAAGTGGGATGACCTGAATTCATCCCTGGGACCCACATAGAAAAAGAGAACTAATTCCAGCAAGTGGTCCTCTGACCACACACATGGATAAATAATCATAATAAAAAAATTTAAGCTTGATTTTGTAGCTTTGATTAATAACTTTAAGTCAATATTAAAAATTTTATTACTGTGTGTGTGTGTGTGTGTGTGTGTGTGTGTGTGTGTGTGTCATGGTACACATAGGAAGTAACTTGTGGGAGTCAATTCTTCCTTCTACCATGTGGTTCCCAGGGATTGAACTCAGGTACTCAGTCTTGGCAGCTGGTGCCTTTACTCACTGAGCCATCTGACTGGCCTTAAGTGAGCATTTAGATTTTCTTTTTCTATAAAGGTATCTGACTTGGCTATGATAAAATTTTATTATTTAAATGTTTTAAATATTAATGTAACTTAACCAAATTCATTTTCATATCAATTTATAGACTTGCCTTTTCTTTCAAATTATTTTTCTTTTAAATATTAGCATGTACAGAACAGAATCAAACAATGAGGATGATTTCCAGCCATCTACAACTACTCAACCGTCTACAGTTACTCAACTGACTACAATTACTCAGGTAAAAACTTAAAACTACATTGTAATATAGGATGTCTAAATCCATATTGAACATGAGAATCTGAGTACCCATATGGAGAGCCTAGCGTGGTGCATGGACTTAGAAGCCCAGCACTGGGGAGCAGAGACAGGCATAGCCTGGAAACCCATGGGCCAGACAGCTAGCCTTGCTGAAACAGGGAGCCTCCTGTTCACTGAGAACTGCCAAGGAACTAAGGCAAAGCGCCCCAGAGGAAGAAACCTGGCATCCTTCTCTGGTACACATACCTGCACGCTCAAGTGCATGAAACACACACACACCATATGCAAGTATACACCCAAAATAAAAACAAACAAACAAATCCAGTTTGGCATGAGGACAACGAATACCCACACTAGTAATCATAGGAGCTGGGAGGCTGAGGCAAGAGGATCCTGAGTTACAGACATCCCGTGCTATGTAGCAAGACACTGTTTGTTTGGTTCTTTTAAAATTATTTTTTGTTTATTATTATATAGATTTCTCTTCAATGTGTCTGTAAAAAGTGAAAACATATAATTTTTGAAATGGCTATTAAATTTTAATGGGTTCTAGAAAATGAGCAGAAAGGATGAGACAGATGAAAAGGAATTTTTTGTACCTAGACTGGGCATGTTTTAGAATAAGGCAAATATAGCTTATTTCCTTATGTGTGGTAGAAAATTTCAGCAATTTAAATCAACAAAGGTTATGTATTTTGAAGAAACTGGGAAGAGGGGGAGTGTTGTCTTTTGAGCATAGAGAGTACACCATTAAGTCTTTTGGTAATCTAGTTTTTCTAAATAATTGTTTATAGTTAGAATTATAAATTGCTTTTTTTTTTTTTTTTTTTTTTTTTTTTTTTTTTTGGTTTTTCGAGACAGGGTTTCTTTGTGTAGTTTTGCGCCTTTCCTGGAACTCGCTTTGTAGACCAGGCTGGCCTCGAACTCACAGAGATCCGCCTGCCTCTGCCTCCCGAGTGCTGAGATTAAAGGCATGCGCCACCACCGCCCGGCCTATAAATTGCTTATTTTTTTAAATAGAGATTCCTACAATTCTTAAGCCAGAAAGCCCAGTGTAATATTATAAACATCACAGTCTGTGATTAATTCATCCTAACCTATGTCCATTTATTGTATACTCTGAAATATAAAGTAGGATGCTCTGATTCACTGTGTGTGACTCATGACTTTCCATAACCCTAATAAAAACCAGCTGCTGTGTGTTCAGCATTCTGTACAGTGATGGAGACTCTAGAAAACACCTATGTTGTTGGTTGTTTTTACTCTTTTACTTTTTGGCTCTTTGCTCCTTTGGGTGTTCTGCCATACAGCTCCCAAATAAAAACACATGGAGGCTTATTCTTTCTTATAAATGCCCGACCTTAGCTTGGCTTGTTTCTTGCCAGCTTTTCTTAAATTATTCCATCTACCTTTTGCCTCTGAGCTTTTTCCTTTTTTTGCATGTGTATATCTTACTTTCACTCTTACTCTGTGGCTGGCTGTGTGGCTGAGTAGCTGGCCCCTGATGTCCTCTCTCCTTTTTTGCTTGCTCCTTGATCTTTTCTCTCTCTTTTTCTCCTTCTGTTTATTCTCTCTGCCTGCCAGCACCACTTATCCTTTGTCCTGCCTTGCTATTGGCCATTCAGCTCTTTATTAGATCAATCAGGTGTTTTAGAGAAGCAAAGTAACACAGCTTCACAGAGTTAAACAAATGCAACATAAAAGAATGCAACACTTCTTTGCATCATTAAAACAAATGTTCCACAGCATAAACAAATGTAATACATCTTAAAATAATAGTCCACAACACATCTCTACCCTGGAACACAACAGACTGGTTATTAGATCTGAGAGCTTTGTCTCAAAGAGCTATAGAATGTGTACTTAGCAATCAGGTGCAGTGTTGGCTCCATCATAGACATTCATTTTAACCCGCTGAGCCCTTGGTTATCAGTGCAGTTAGCCTTTACTACACTTCTGTAGAAGTGCACTCAGAATGTTAGCAGCACACTTAGTGTTGGCACATATGTGCACCCACCCACCTACCCATCCGTCCATCTTGGCAATGATACGCTAAACACAGAAGTCACTATTCCAAGCTTCACTCTGGGTTTGTTGTTGGAATTGTTTGTTTATATTAGAAGAATCTTCTCTGCACTCTCACAAACCACAGATATTTCACTAAATCAGCAGTTTCATAATTACGTTAACATTCAAAGGTTGGGAGGGAGGACTGATGTATACCATAAATTATCAAAATATGTATAAATATTAGTGGAGGCACGCTTGAATTTCTGAGGATGTTACCTCTGGTTTTCTCATTTTTTCAGTTATATAATTTTTCATATTTAACTTTCCAATTTAGTTATATTTTCACTTCAGGAAAGTTTTGGTGATTAATCTAAGGGAGATAAACAAAGGGTAGACAGGTTCAATTGTTAAGCCTACAATAGAGACTTACTTGTTAAGTATATAAATGGTAATAGTAATGGTGGAGATGCAGCTGTAGTAACATATGAGTCATGGTTCCTTGCAAAATAGTCTGCTGTTACATCCTCTATTTCTGAAGCGTGTGATGGGTGTTTCCCATATTGACAGTAATATGAATTTAGTTATGAAATGTCGTGATTGCTTACATTCATAAAATTATGTGGCGAGTACAGTTCTTAAAAGAGTTCCTTGTTTGACTTCAGGTTTCCAGTGATCCTGCTTTTAGTTCAACATATGAGGACGCTAAGGAAAGGAAACAACAGGTGAACAGAAGTACAAATAGTTATTGTCCTCCACAAGGAACATTCAATAAGATAATTACAGATGGTATGTGAACTAAATGTACATGGGAAGAAAATGAGAAATATGTGCGCCTAATAAAATGCAGATAATAAGGCCACTGCCATATATATGATATATACCTCAGATGGCAAGCTCAGTTCTGAACAATATGTAGACAGAACAAATATTTCCTCACCCTTTCAAAACCAAAGTATTACTTGATTTATAGTTTATTCTTTTCCATGTATTTTAATATTAAATGTGGGGGTTAGAAGCCACATTAATTAAAGATTCTTGTTGCAGACTTTCTTTTGATGGCCTTAGTTAGCCAGAAGTATTATTATCCCTGGCAATACTAAGGTTCTTAACATTGGGTCCCAGATTTTAAAATAGCTGTGGCCTTATATAAAATTTGCATCTTATTGTTGCCAAATAAATAAAGATTTTTTTCTTATTTCTTTCTATTTATTTATTTTTAGTGCATTGGTGTTTTGCCTGCATGTATGTCTGTATGAAGGTGTCAGATCCCCTAGTACTGGAGTTACAAAAAGCTGTCAGCTGCCTTTGAGTGCTGGGAATTGAACCTGGGTCCTTTGGGAGAGCAGACAGTGCTCTTAACTGTTGAGCCATATCTCTAGCCCCCTAGTTGTTTATTTCTTTGTGAATATTCTATACAATGGAACTCAGAGATTTTGACCACCAGCTGTATATAACCTATACAGAACAAAAATTAGACTAAATATAGTGAAGCATAAGTAATTGAAGTTTTAGTTTTCGTGTATTCTTATTTGTTCTTTGCTAACTTTAAACTTTTAAAAGCAAATTTTATTCATTGATTTTTTTTCATTAGCAATGGCTGCTTCTTAATTAACATCAGTGTTTTAAGGACCTTGAATTAAGTTTTCTCTGAACTCGAAAAGTCCTCATGTGACTGTGAATTCCTGGGCTCCTGTTTTCGTTTTACTTTCTGCACATAGCTCTTGTACATCTCTGTTCGTTTCCATGACCCTGTCTATTTAGCAGGCTGTTTCTAGAGTGTAGTTGTTATGAGAGAGGAAGAGGAATGTGCTGATCACCAACGTTACCCTCTTCAGGTTGGATTGCAGACAGAGTTCAATACCAGCACTGAAATGTCAACCTTAGGTCAATGACTTATTTCCCCCCTTTCCCCCCAATTTTGGTTTTGTAGTTTTAGGGACATTTGTAGGAAAAGAAGATTTCATAGCTTCCATGTTCTGTTTTAGGGATACACATTTTAGTACTATCTTTTTTCAAGCCTCTCTCCTTATACATACATCATCTAGGTTCTTACTGGTTCCTCAATACACACTTCCAAATCAAATTCAGGAACACATGAAGATTATATATTATGATCAGGTGTGCTTCATTCTAGAAAGTCAAGGTTGGTTTGACTTATGTAAATCAATAAGTGTAATATATCATGTAAATAAACTTAAGGACAAAAACCACATTATCACTTCAATTGATGCTGAAAAGGACATTTGGAATTCTTTCGAGTAAGAAAAAACAAAAAACAAGAACAGTCGAACTTAGAAATCCACAAAAAATGACTTGCTAACAGACCAGGCACAGCGTCTGGATTAAAGAAGAATGTGCACCGGTTCAGTGGCTTTCCTTTGAAAAAGGCAGCATCCAATATAAAGAGAAGGAAGAAACGTTGAAAAGTTGGGAGATGTGCTAAAGAGCATCCGTGAGGTTCTTGACTTGGAGAGATGAGTGTGAGCAGTGAACTAGTGAAGAGGCTGTTGAATTTCTTAATGTAAACCATTGCCAAGATCTAAAACACCTTCAAATAAAGGTGGTAAAAAGGAACAGAACAGTTCTGTAATGACAGTGAAGTCAAAGCAAACCAGACATCCTGAAATTCTGTCGGATGAATCCAGTAGTGATGAAGATGAAAATAAAAATGAGATAAATGACGAGGAGCAGCTACCAAAAAAAAATCTAAAAAAGAAAAATCCAAACAGAAAGCTACTGCTAAAAGCAAAAATTCCCCCCAAACCTGTAAAAAGTGCTAATGGTGAGGAAGCAGGAAGCATACCAGGAAGAGTCGAGACAGGTCAAAATAGTCTGGATCTCGATTGAGACAGATAACAAACCACTAATTCAAACATCCAGGAAACCCACCTCCAGACAAAGAGTTAAAGGAAATAGCGAAGAAATTATTGGCCAAATTATTGCTAATTTGGAAGAAGTCACAATGAAGGAGATTTGCAGAGAGGTATATGAAAATTATTTGACTGAGAGAAAGCATCTCATTAAAATAACTGTAAAGCTGGGCAGTAGTAGCATACTCCTGTAATCCCAGAACTGCAAAGGCTGAGGCAGGTGGATCTCTGTAAGTTCGAGGCCAGCCTGGTCTACAAAGCAAGTTCTAGAACAGCCAAGCCTGTTACACAAAGAAACTCTCTCTCAGAAAAAAACAAAAAACTAACAAACAGAAAAAACAGCTCTAAAGAGCTGGTTCCTTGTTATGGAGGACGGATGGCTTGTTCTCAGATTTGAAGAACAAAGAGAATGTGTTTTCTAAGTCTATTGAGTTCAGAGAACTCATTGCTGTCCTTTGAGTGTTACATACATCTGAGCCTGCTGTTTTAAACTGGATTTCTGTACAGCTTTTAGCTTAAATCTTGCATGGCAGTAATTATTCCTTGCTTTTTGTGACTGCACATTTTGGATTTCTTTATGTAATATCATAGGTTCCTGAACTGTAGTGAATTATAGTGCACTAATGTTAGCTTGCTTAAGACATACTTTTCATCAAGTAAAGTAAAAACTATTATAACCAGCCTTTATACGTGCAGAGAATAATACAGTACTTACTATAAGAAATATTTTGAATACATCTCTTCAGTCCTTGTGAAAACGTAGTGGCAGTTGCTCATATTAGAGCAAAGCTGTTCATATGACTCCAGTGAAACTTTTTCTGCCTGTGTATACATGTCAAGTTGTTGGTGTGACAGATGTTTGTTTTGTATTTAAAAAAAAAAAAACAATTTAGGGCTGGAGAGATGACTCAGCCATTGAAGGCTAGGCTCACAACCAGAAGAATATAAAAACCAATTTGTTTTATATGATGTACTATTTTTTGGTGCAGATCAGTTTTTAAGCCCATATAGATAGGTGACTTATGCACTTATAAACTATAGTCAGTGTTGAGGCAGGTGGCAAGACAGAGCAGTCAGAGTTCAGTGATGGGGACACTAAAGGACTGTCCAGTTCTGCTTTGCCCTGAAAGTGTCATCAGTTTGTGGTTGTGGCGTTAACTGAGTGTCATAGGAATTTAATATTGAGGATAAACCAAAATCAGCACACCAGAGCTCCAGAAACTGGGAGAGGGTGAAATGAAGCACATTTGGCTTGATGGAATGTAAGTGAACTGGTAACTTCTTTTGACCATATAAAATATTACTTACAGGAAACCTGGCTGCCTTCATAATTATGATTAAAGGTATCAGATATAATGCCCAAAGATGGTGTGTGGGCAATGTAGGTATCCCTGACAAAGTAGTTCTAAAAAACCATACATTAAGTTTCTTTAATATTAAAAGTAAGCAGGCTGGAGAGATGGCTCAGAGGTTAAGAGCACTGGTTGTTCTTCCAGAGGTCCTGAGTTCAATTCCCAGTAACCACATGGTGGCTCACAACCATCAATAATGAGATCTGGTGCCCTCTTCTGGCCTGAAGGGACATATGCAGAAGCAGAACATTGTATACATAATAAATAAATCTTTAAAAAAAAAAATCTTAAAAAAAAATGGTCTGGAGAGATGGCTCAGTGGTTAAGGGCACTGGCTGCTCTTCCAGAGGATCCAGGTTCAATTCCAAGCACCCACATGGCAGCTACCAACTGTCTGTAACTCCAGTTCCCTGGAATCTGACATCTTCACATCAATGCACATTAAATAAAAAGTTAAATAAATTATAAAAAAATAAGCATTTGTATAGTCAAGGTTATTGGATTTTAAATTTTGGTCAATCAAGATTTTAGGTGATAAACATGGTCCACCTCTGAATTTAAACTAAATTTTGGCTTTTGACTGTCTTAATAAATAGCCTGTTTCTGAATTTAAAAAATATGCTGCTTGAAAAAAATGATATTTTATTTACTGAGTGTTTTTTTAACCTTTACATCATAGAGCAGATGTAGTGAAATAATATTTAGTGTTAACAGGTATTTTCATATATTTGACTTGTTTAGTATGCTTAAGAGTGAAAGGCATAAGCAACTAATTGAGGACTGAAAATTGGTCTTTTCCTTTAAATAATTTGTTATAAACCTTGGCAATAAAGAACAAATGGATATGAAGATGTTAAAGCCAGAGTGACGCTCATGGCTTTAGATTGACTGTTCTAACTGTACAGAAGGTCAGTGCACTGTATAGACTTTGGGTCTGATTAATTTCAGTGCATGGCATTTTTTATTTGTAAGCTCTTCATAATGAAGGGTTTTTTGTTTACTTGTAAATTACAGTGGTTTTATTTTACTTTTATTTTGTGTGCATTGGTATTTTGCATGGGTGTTGGTTCCCTAGAACTAGAGTTATAGGCTGTTGTGACCTGCCCTGTGGGTGCTGGGAATTTCACATGGGTCCTCTGGAAGAGCAGTCAGTGCTCTTAACCACTGAGTCATCTCTCTAGCTCCATAATGAAGTTTTTAAAGATCTTAATATCAGTTTCATGAGGATAGCAATCTTGGAAGTTTAAGATTCAGAAATAATACTCCAGACACTTTCAATTTCTGAAGCTTGCCTTTAACCCCAGCACTTGAGAGGCAGAGGCAGATGGATTTCTGTGAGTTTGAGGATAGCCAAGGCTGCATAGAGAGGCCCTGTCTGTAAGTAAATAAAGAGAAAATGAGGTGGGAGAATCCATCTACACCTCTCAGTATAATAGATAAAACTTCAGAAATGAAAGAGAAAACCTGAATAAGACAAAGAAGAAGCCTTGCCTATATGGGAGTCCTAATAAAAATTGCATCCTCTCTCCTCGGAAGTGACGGAAGCAAGAGGGGTGGAGTGGAG